TGTGCCTCTTTGTCGCTCGTTCCGCGCTCTCGCTTGCACTTCAAGCCTTAAATGGAACGCCTCAGAGCGAGGTAACGCCGCATGAGTCATGTTTTTTCGTGCGTGCAGCCGGCTCCATCGAATTATAAGACGTTGTCACGTCAAAAAAACAGTAAAAAGTGTAGCTGTTGTTTTACTTTACACTTTTACTTCACTTTTCATTGTCTACCATACCTACCCACTTAAATACGCAAAATTCTAATAAAGGGGTAGGTAATTAGATACGAGTGCGTGATTAAGATAAAAGGGGGGCGGGAGCACACAATGAAGTGACCTGCCCATTAGGATTCAACATCCTTTTTTTGCCTTTCTGTGAATAGTCCTAAATGCCTTCACAATTTCTGTGGAAACCGCTTAAATATATCAGTCTAAAAGACATGCATTAAGGCTACAAATGAACGTTAAAGAGATTCGAAACTCACCACGTAAACAGCTCCCAGAGGCATTACGAGACAGGCTACCATCAGGTCTGCCACCGCCAAAGACACAATCAAGTAATTGGCGACGTTCTGGAGGTTCCTTTCTAACAATATTGCCGCAATGACGAACACATTTCCTGAAACAAAAGGAGGAAAAACGTTCTTAATGGTCCATCTCGCGGCAGATGTAAGCACACAAAGGAATAAAGGGAAAGGTATTTTGTATTCTTTTTTTATCCAGTTCCTTAAAAATTCGAGACCACGAAAGTAATGTGTATATTAGATATTAAGGGTTCAAATTGGGAACAAGGTTGTGCAAATCAAAAATCCATTCGGATTTTTCTTTAAAAAATTAGAATGTTGAAAATTATAGAAACGTGTACCTGTACCGAAGAGGGTGAAGGTTTGACTTATTGCACTTTAATAAAAGTACCTAATTACACATTACCAAGCATGCAATAAAGCAGATATAGTACAGTCGAAATAAGAAGGCAAAGTCCTCAATAAATAATGCACACTAAAGGCATATCGTTTTTCTCGTTCTTGCAAACGGAAGATATCCTGTCTTTACTCTCTAAACACGCCTCCTCCACAGCTGCGTGGAGACCTGCACCTACGTTTCATAAGAATCAATCGAACAGAATGAGACGGTTGAAAACGTACTTGTCTTGTTGTCTGTACCTACATTAAATGAGCAAATTTACAGGGTCGGCTTAATTTAGTTGGTATATTTGTGCGAATAGTCATCTCTTTGCATATATCGTTTTTTTTTTCGTTGTAACTATTGCTGTCGTTATTTTTGTTAGTGTTATTGTTGTTGTTATTGTTGTTTTTATTGTTATTTTTGTATGAGAATTTGTATCAATATGAAATACAGTGTTGCACGATTAAAAGAACAATAAAATTTTTAGATGTGTGGGTATGTATGAATACAGAGTCATTCAATCTGTTTTGATGTACAATCGAAATTATATAAATATTATTGCATTGAATTATCTTACATCTTACAATAACTTTTTCACCATACTGTAGTACGACTACTACCTTAAGCCGATCCTGTAAATTTGCTCATTTAATGTAGGTACAGACAAGAAGACAAGCTCGTTTTCAACCGTCTCATTCTATTCGATTGATTCTTATGAAACGTAGGTGCAGGTCTCAACGCAGCTGTGGAGGAGGTGTGTTTAGAGAGTAAAGACAGGATATCTTCCGTTTGTAAGAACGATAAAAACGATATGCCTTTAGTGTGCATTATTTATTGGGAACTTTGTCTTCTTATTTCGATTGTACTATACTAACTTATAATCACAAAAAAGATGCAATAGCGAAAGCAGCAGACATCCGCTAATTTTTAATTTTGTATATTAACAGATTGAAATGAAATAAAAGAAAAAAATTTAACGTATCTTTATAATCTAGTTTAAGTAGAGCAGAGCTTAAATGATTAATCAAAATAACAAATCCTATAATGTGTACTGAATGAGATGGTTTTTAACAGTTCATGTGTTATAATAAAATTAATTGATTAATATTATTTGAATATTCACAGTTGAAAATTTCACACCGAGAAAGTATTACATAATTAAACTAACTGTCACAGAATCTATGCCTCCGAAAGATTTTTTCTGATTTTTCACTTCATTGTCTGCTGAAGTTTGATCACTAAGTGCGGCAGATAGTGGGAGCCTCTCGTCGTCATTATTATTCTTTGTAACTTTCTGAATCACCGTCATATCAGTAAAAAGCACCGTAAAAGTGTGCGATTCTATTTTTGCTTTAATAACAATTTCGTGTTTCGTCAATTTACATGCAAATAAACTAGAAATGTGAAAGCAGTTTATCGCAGAGAATATCGTCTGCGAAATGGGGTGGTGATATTTTCATGACAATAAAGTGAGCCATTAACTAACCTATGACTGTCACGAGGATCATAAGTCCGAGAAGTATGGAAAGTAATCCCATAACAATGATGTCGCTTATAGGATCCTCGTTCATGAGGCTGAAAATGGAGGTGTTTGAAGTGCCATTTCCCTGAGTGGAATTCAATATCCCCAAGCAAGAAGCATTCACTCCTTGCGTACAGTTCCATCCCAGGAAATCTTCTGGAGACAACGGATCGATCCATGTCGTTTCCGAATAATGATAGAGGTCTGAAAATAAATATTTGATTGAAAACATTTGCTGTTATAGAAATACATATATATACATATATAGGATGTCGCAGTTATAATAATTAATATTTATACCACAGATTCCTACGGGCATTTCGAACATAAAATGTTACAACACTTTTGACTTTTGAAACAAAATAAAAAATTATAAAATTGCAACAGTTTTGATGCCGGCCCTGCACGGTACTATTGCTTGTCACCTCAAGGTAGGCCTAGTGGCGTCATCTCTTGGTTAGGCCGGAAACTTATCAATCCACCCTCGTATATGTAAAGATATCACATTAATAATCGTGTTGGATTTGAGTTATAGAGAAAGCACAGTTTCTCGCGCAACATTATCCCAATGATTTAGAGGTAAGTCGAATTCGTTCGGGAAAGTATACATTTTCACTGTCACGTTTCAACTAATAAGACGACAGAGAAAATGATGAACAAAAACTTAACCCTTAGTTCTTCTGTTGTTAGAGGCACAGATGATGAACACCATAAATTATGATCATTTCGTCAAAACCCGTTTATAACACATAACTATAGCGAGATATCCTCTCAAACACGTTTACCAACGTTGAAATCTCTTCGCGAATCACAAGATGTAAAATTTCTGTCATTTTGAAATATGAGTAACCAGTCGATCGATCTTTGAGCTCTTATACTGTATTATACAATATTATATTTTTCCATTATAACATTTTCTTTTTTGTGTAAAATGGACAATAAGTCCTTAACTATTTGCGAAAACTAATCTAACTTCAAATTTTCTAATTTCCCTACTTGGCTCATTGTCTTAACATTCCACGCTCCGATTCGTGAAGACATCCCCCGAGGTAGTCCCCGCCCGGACATGGGGGACTAGTTTACGTCCGGAGGGCTTTACCCCAGAGGACGTCATCATTTAATTTGCTACGTAGGTATGTTCTACTCAGGATCATCATGTGGTGGTTTTCCGTTACATCGCAGTATTGTGCAGAGTACCATACCGATCTTCGTGATTTCTGCCCTCTTTCAGGGACTTCTCTTAATCTGGTTTCTCTTTAAGAACCCCCCCCCCCCCTTATGGTTGAACCTATGGTCTAGCTTCCTAAATCATCGAAACTCGCAAGCCGACTCACCCACTCTAGTTTGTACAAGAGTTTAGTCAAGTAGTCAAGGTTCAAGTCCCGTTGGATCACAACTTCAAATTAATGAGGAAAAAAATTAATTCACCAATACATTGAATTAACATTACAAAAACTGAATGTGTCACGAGAACTTACACTATTATCAAGACTGAATATTTGTTGCTTAACTAACAATGCCGACATTAACAAAAACTAATTAAAAAATAATTGAGGCTAATATGCCCATGAAATTTAAATTAAGTCCTGACAATCATGAATTAGAATTAAATACAGTTTCCAAATTGATCTGAAGTAAGAAATATAATGTTATTACCGTAACATACTAATTATACCGTAATAACTAGCAAATGCTGTCGGTATAAATTAACTTTAAAAGTTAACGTGGTGTTACGATCCGATGCTACGATAAAAGCCCTGTATGTAAAACTTATCGATCTGTTTGGGAATTTGAGAATTTCCTCTAAAATAATTCGCGTAAGCTTTGAATTCCAGAGACTTAAATTAGGGCAAAGTTCATCAGCCACGTGTTAAATGCTGAATTTTAGAGTAGGTATTAACAAGTTGCCTATTAGGCGAGCTCGTGAGGTGAAATTTAATTCCATTAGACAGGCTAAGTAAAAAAAATTTCAGAAGTGGCGCTTATTCAAGTAATATAATACGTAACATCACAAAGCATGGGAATATTTTGGTTACGTTAACAGCAAAGGGTGTATAATGGGATTTTCTTCATCATCATCATCATCATAAGGTCGTCAGTCTTAAGACTGGTTGGACACGCATCTCCACTCTTTTCTATCTTGAGCTAATCTTCGCATTTCCCTTAAACTAGAACATCCCACGTCCTTAACTATTTGCGAACAGTAATCTAATCTAGGTCTATATCTACCCTTCCTAACTCCCGTTTCCGCTTCTGCCTCTAATATGTTTCTGACTAGACCTTCATGCGCCCATTGTCTGTTTCGCACCCGTACAGTGCCGTGCTCCAAACATACACCTTTAATAACCTTTTCCGAATTTCTAAATTAACTGTTCGCCAGCAAAGAAGTAACTGCAATAAATCAAGAACCGAAAATTGTAACGGAATTTATTAAGAAGCAAGTAACTATTTAATGTAAAAGAAGGGCGCGATTGAAATAAAGTTGAGCAGGGTAAATTATCCTTTGAAATTTTTCTGTTTCTACATATGCTACATAGTGTCGTACAAAACTATTTTAGCATAGAAGTACCAAGTAGATGTGGGGCTGCCAAATGTAAATATATATCTATATAAAAATGTAAGGCGTTAGTTTAAACTTAAACTATTAGGATGACTTATGCGAAATAAATCGGCCCTTTTAAACGTCGGAACTAGGGAGACTAGAGAAACTATTTTAGATAGAGTTTTGTGGCTCAAATAAAAAAAAAACAAATTAGATAGAAAGGTAAAATTAGAAGTCGTTGTACATAACATTTATCAGCATATCCATCAAGTATTGGCAGCTTATCGCCATCTAGTGCTGTTAAGGAAGTATTTCAACTACTTAAAATAAACGTTTTAATTTGTCAGGATATTTAACAAAAGAAACACATAAATACAGAAATTTTCGAAAGACGTCAGACAACTAAAAAAGCCTTTGATTATTATGTAAAGATGCTAATCATGAAATGCGTGTTTAAAAAATGTAAACTCTCTATAATTTCCGAAACATCTGAAGCTAAATTACTTAATAGGTATCAGCGGCGCCTTTTAATAATAAAAATAGTTAATTAGTGCTTTATAATTTTCACATAATTGGGATATGAACTAAGCTTAAATTAGGTCTTCAAGGTAAACTGGACAAATTGTACGTTTGTTCACACTGGGTAACTGAGATTTCTGTAATAAATCAAGAACCAAAAATTGTAACGGTACAATACTTAAACCAACCCAGAACAAACAACAATTATTATTAAAAATACGTTCTTGTGTAAAAATGTAGGTAATGGCCCTAGGTAAGCGAGTCAGAATGAATAAGGGAGATCCAATTTGTGTAAAAGTATCGGTTACTGTTTCAGTTTAAATTGTTAGGCCCAGCTCACACTGCGATTTTCTGTCGTTACGACCGAATTGTCGTAAGTACACAGAAAGTAAAAACGATGCACGCACTTGCATCAAAATATCCCAGTTTTCGATCAATTGCGACATGAATGCCACAGAAACAACATAGAGTAGGGTGGTATTGTTATTGCGAGTGAGAGATGTAATTCTTAAGGGAACGAAAGAAACAATATTAGGTTCATCCTTTGCTTTAAGTAAGAGATTAGGGCAATTTTACAAACTATTCGAAGATTTAAGATGCCATCAGAAGCGATTTTACAGTAAGCGTAAAAGCAGATTTGATGATTACCTTACAATAATAGGCTGAAAGTATCATATTTCTCCTTATAATTTTGATTTCAAATTGCGGCCGCTATATTCTTTAACAGTGATTGTCGTAACGAGCAAGTTTTTCCTTACCCAAAACGTTATGTGACGTTTCCTCTTTTTCTGTACTAGAAGACTCACGTTTGATAACCGCAGTGTATCTATTGACTATGAACAAATAACAGACGAGACGCCCATTAGTGAGTTGGGACAATTTGGCCGAATGTGCGAGCAGATTTATTATTGTACATCCGTGACAATCGCCGGACCGGTTGCATCTTTTTAATCGCGGCGATTATTTAGCCGTAGATGTGCGCACTTTATTTACTACCCTGTGTCACATTTTCGAGACAAAATAATTGCACGACAAAAACTCGCAGTGCACGCTAGGCTTTATGCCACTTTCACACTGTGCGATAACGACACGATTTACTACACGCGATTTGTCATATCGTGTCGTGTAATTCTATTAAATTGACTATTTTCTAATTGAATGTCTTTGAGAAAGACATGTTAATGGCTATAAGTTGCGGTTAGCACTACTGGCATATCATACACGTGTGGCGGAAATGAGTATCGGCAACCATGGACAACGATAAGTTGGGGCGATACACGACATGTGTAAAAGCATACATTTGGTTACATTTAATATACGTGTCGTGCAGTATTTCTATAGTACGATTTGTTAGTACAAATCGGAATGTATTTGCGACACATTATACTGCAACGATTTTAATATTGGATAGCATCAGTGTGAAAGTGTTCACTTTAAATACATTTATTTTGGATATATACTTCGTTTACTTTCTGTAGCGATGTGACCTTCAGTTTGACCGGCACAAAGTAGAAAAAAACAGCACTAGGCCAGAAAAGGAAAGAGACAACTCTCGGCCAAACTCTTAACCGGTGAGAAGCGTATAATCCGTACAGTACTGCATGGAAAAATTGACCATTTTATCCAATACAATTGCATTGCTCAAATGTGCTGTTATTGGTACCAATTGCTACCGAAAATATCAACGAGATGCTTGTTTATATTTGAAGACATATTAAAGGCTTTAACGCTTGTTTTCGACTCGCACTAATATTCATGATTGAACAAAACTTTTAGCCGGCACTGTATGAAAAACTATGTTTAAAGAACAAGAGTCGAGAGTATAATGAGCTTTTTTCTCCCTACCTACAATTTTGCTAGAGCGCATCTAAGACACTGGAAGGGGCACATCGCTAGAGAAAATAAATGAAGTATACTTTTGTGTCGTTGCGATTTACTGCATGCAGTAAATCGTGTCGCTATCGCACTGTGTGAAAGTGACCTTAGGTCATTAGATACTAAAAGATTCATGCTTCTAGGTTTTTCTGTTTCCAACTTTCACATTGTTATACTTTAAAAAAAATTTACTATTGGACACATTTACATATTCGAATAGAAAATACATTCAAAATAAAGGAAACCTAATATATTACTTTTGGTATAA